TTTGGAAAGGACAGGGAGATGAAGCCAGATGGTTGAAATACTGGCTGATCAACAGGGAGCTCTTGAGGTACGTATAAAGTTGAAGAGGAATTGCTATTGAATCCTCAATGAACTCTGACCTGGGTCCTGGCAGAGCCCTCACTTTTTTCATCTTTGCTGAATCTCCAGAGCCCAGACCTGCCAGGTGCCAAGTGCTCTTTGCACGTTCTTCAATGAATGACTCAACTATGAAGAAGAGTGGTGATGTTATACTTTAAATTATTAAGATATCTTACTTATATTGCTTGTACTAGAAACGAAATCCTGCAAAAGTAAGAGTAAGTTTCAGGGTAAAAACAGAACATGGATCAAATTTCACTCCTTCCTGAACTCCAAATAAAAATAAAGTAAGACATTAGTTTTAGGCGTAATTCCACTAGGACTCAGAGAACACTAAAGGCTAAGGCAGCTGTGGAAAAAGCTGAATATTAATCCTAAATACAGTACGTCCCCTACATACTAACCTGGTCAGTTCTGAGAGCACGTTCTTAAGTCCAATTTGTTCGTAAGTTCAACAAAGTTAGCTTAGGTACCCAAGTAACACAATAAACTATATAGTACTGTACTGTGAAAGATTTATAATACTTTTCACACAAAAAATACATAAAAAACAAAAACAAAGAATAAAGAATAAGTTTTTTTAAACTTCAATTTAAATTCTTTATTATAATACTCAGAAATACTTATTGAAAGTGAAAGCCTTAGCTGTTCATTTGTGTCTGATTCTTTGTGACCTCATGGACTGCAGCCTGCCAGGCTTCTCTGTCCATGGAATTCTCCAGGCAAGAATACAGGAGTAGATTGCCACTCCCTTTCACGTTCTTCAATGAATGACTCAACTATGAAGAAGAGTGGTGATGTTATACTTTAAATTATTAAGATATCTTACTTATATTGCTTGTACTAGAAAAGAAATCCTGCAAAAGTAAGAGTAAGTTTCAAGGTAAAAACAGAACATGAATCAAATTTCACTCCTTCCTGAACTCCAAATAAAAATAAAGTAAGACATTAGTTTTAGTCATAATTCCACTAGGACTCAGAGAACACTAAAGGCTAAGGCAGCTGTGGAAAAAGCTGAATATTAATCCTAAATACAGTACATCCCCTACATACTAACCTGGTCAGTTCTGAGAGCACGTTCTTAAATCCAATTTGTTTGTAAGTTCAACAAAGTTAGCTTAGGTACCCAAGTAACACAATAAACTATATAGTACTATACTGTAAAAGATTTATAATACTTTTCACACAAAAAATACATAAAAAACAAAAACAAAGAATAAAGAACAAATTTTTTTAAACTTCAATTTAAATTCTTTATTATCATACTCAGAAATATTTACTGAAAGTGAAAGCCTTAGCTGTTCATTTGTGTCTGATTTTTTGTGACCTCATGGACTGCAGCCTGCCAGGCTTCTCTGTCCATGGAATTCTCCAGGCAAGAATACAGGAGTAGATTGCCACTCCCTTCTCAAGGGAGACTTCCTAACCCAGAGATTGAACCCCAGCCTCCTGCATTGAATGCAGATTCTTTACCATCTGAGCCATCCTTTTAACAGGGTTCTCATACATTTAAAAGTAAAAGATTTATTCATTTGTTTTTGACTGCACTGGGTCTTCGTTGCTGCGTTCAGGCTTTCTCGAGGTGCAGGAAGTGGGGGCTCCTCTTTGTTGCGGAGCATAGGCTCCAGAACTTGGGCTCAGTAGTTTTGGGCTCAGTAGTTGTGAGGTAACAAGGGCTTAGTTACCTCACCTCAGGTGGAATCCTCCTGGACTAGGGATCGAACCTGTGTCCCCTGCATTGGCAGGTGAATTCTTTACCACTGGAACCACCAGGGATGTCCCACTCATATATCTTTAATCTTACAGTATAGTACTTTGAAAAGTACAGTAGTAAAGAACAACACTGGTGTTGTTGGGGCTGGTGTCACGAGAACAGGCAAGAAGCGTTATTGACTGGAGGAGGGAGAGGGGGTGGGCGATGGTAGAACTGAAGGATCATCAGCAACAGGAGATGGAAGGCAAGCTTCAGTGTCTCTCATTCCTGACTTTGCTGGAACACAAGTTTGCATCTTTGAAAGTTCAAAACTTGAATGTTTATATGTAGGGGGCTAACTGTATACACCAGAATCTCTGAAAAAGATCACATATTGACATCACCAGGTACTTCTGGAAGTGGGTGAAAGAGAGAGAGAGCTGAGCTCTTTCCTAACCACAATGAAAATCAGAAGATTAGGGGATCTGAAAACAGAAGCACATGTGAGGGTGTGGGTATCATACCTCCAAAAAGGGATTGAGAGGCCATAAATATGGTAAATGGAGACTCTTGGCCTTCCCGTCCTCTCTGCTCCCGGGACTTTACCCTCTACATAAGAGTCAGGAAAACTTTTCTGGGGAATCTGACTGACCCAAGTGGAAACAATGAAAGGTACCAATATGAAGGTTCCCAGTCTACTCTGAAGTGAAACTCAAAGTCAGCAAGCCACTGCCCCCTCTGAGCTCACTCCACAAGCCCCCTACTCTTAATCATGAGTGCATAATCCAGATGTACCAGACGTCTAGCAGGACCTCTGAAATAGAAGACAGAGAGCAAAACAAAAAGGAAAAGGCAATCTGGAGAAAGAAAAGATAACATCTTTTTAAAAGATGTCTTTAGAGAATAGAATGTATACAGTAAAGAAGAGGGACTTCCTGGTGGTTCAGTGGTAAAGAATCCACCTGGCAATTCAGGATCCCTAGGTTGGGAAGATCCCCTGGAGAAGGCACTCCAGTATTCTTGCCTGGGAAATCCCATGGACAGAGGCACCTGGTGGGCTATGGCCCATGGGGCTGCAAAAATCAAATATGACTTAGTGACTAAACAACAACAACAACCATAAAGAAGAACACAGTGCTATTAAAAATAACGGAATGTTTAGAGAATAAAAGCAATTCTCAGAAAATAAAAATATGAAAATTACAAACTCAATAGACATTTTAGAGATAAAGTTGGGGAAATCTCTCAGAAGGGACAGCAGAAAAGATGAAGCTATAGAAAACAACTTCCAAAGTTGTAAAAATGAAGGCATAATCCAGTCAGTATAACATTTGAATAATAAACTTTCCAAAAAGAGGGACTAGAGGAAACTCAGAGGAGGGGAAGCAAGAGAGAAGTAACTCATGGAAATTTACTGGGACCAAAGGATATATGTTTTCAGATTGAAATGGTGCTTTGAGGATAAAAGCAGACCTATGCAAGGCACATTAGTGTGAGATCTTAGAACACTGGGTAAAGACAAGACATCGCATCTTCTCGAGAAGGAGAGAAAAACAGGAAACCGAGAAAAGATCAGAAATCAGAATTACTTTAGATTTCATCATAGCAATGCTGGAAGCAAGAAGACAAGGGAAGAATGCCTTCAAAATCTTAAAGTAAAACAATTTCTAACCTGGAATTATATACCTATGTGTTTAGTTGCTCAGTCGTGTCTGACTCTTTGTGACCCTATGGACCATACATAGCCCACCAGGCTCCTCTGTCCATGGAGAATCTCCAAGCAAGAATACTAGAGTAGGTTGCCATGCCCTCCCCTCCAGGGGATCTTCCCAACCCAGGGATTGAACCCAGGTTTCCCACATTGCAGGCAGATTCTTTACTGTCTGAGCCTCCAGGGAAGCCCAAGAATACTGCAGTAGGTAGTCTATCCCTTTTCCAGGGATCTTCCTGACCCAGGAATCAGACCAGGGTCTCCTGCATTTCAGGAGGATTCTTTACCAGTTGAGCTACCAGGGAAGCCCTGGAATTCTATACCTATACAGACTATTGAATCAAGTGGGAGGGTAAATTGAAAAATAATTCAGACATACAGGATCTCAAAAAAAATTCTCCTTCCATGCATCCTTTGTCAGGAAGCTGCTGAAGGAGTTTCCACCATGAGAAATGTGTGAACCAAGACAGGGCTTCCCAGGTGACTCATTGGTAAAGAATCGACCTGCCAAAGCAGGAGACATGGGTTTGGTCCCTGGATTGGGAAGATCCTCTGGAGAAGGAAATGGAATCCCCTCCGGTATTCTTTCCTAGGAAATCCCATGGGCAGAGGAGCTGGAGGGCTAAAGCCCATGGTGTTGGAAAAGAGTCAGACACAATTTAGCCATTCAACAATAACAACAAACCAAGAAAGAGGACATGAGATATGGAAGGTGGTGCTCTGGTGCAGGAGAGAATAGAGGGAAATCTTTCTAGAATAACAGCAAGAGGAGCTCCCAGGACAATAACTGTACCCTGTGTAAAGAGTAACTGGTAGGCAGAAAAATAGCCCCCAAAGATGTCTAGGTCTTAATTCCATAATATGTCCTCATTCCTAATACTTGTAAATACATTATGCTACATGAAGAGAGACAATTAAGATTGCAGATAGAATTAAGGTTGCTAATCAGTTTACCTTAGAATAGGAAGATTATTCTGGATTTCCAAGTAAGCCCAATGTAATCACAAAGTTTCTGATGGAAGGGGGAAGGATTAGAGTCAGCATCATAGTGATGCAATGGGAGAGAGACTCAACCAGCCATTTCTAACTTTGAAGAGGAAAGGGAGCCACAAGCCAAGGAATTCAGGCAGCCCCTTGAAGCTGGAAAAGACTAGAAAACAGGTTCTATGTGAGAGCCTCTAGAAAATAACACAGCCTTGCTGACACCTTGATTTTAGGCCAGTGAGACCCGTTTCAGACTTCTGACCTCTAGAACTATAAGACAATACATTTGTGTTGTGTTAAGCCACTGAATTTCTGGCCATTTGTTACCGCAGCCACGGGAACTCATAGAGCAACTAATTCAAGTTAGAGCCTGGCATGTAGAGTTAACTGTGTCACCATTATCGTATATATCTTAAGGCAACTTCTGGGGGATGTGGCCAACCTGAGTAAGAGAAACAGCAGAGAAATAAGCAACTGAGAGACCATGGAGCTAGGGACACAGTGAGGACCCACCTAGTTGCTGTGGGGGACCGTGTAGAGAGGCTCAAGGATGATAAACTCGCAGTAATTGATGATCAGGCTGCAGCAGAACTCCTGGTCCACCAGCTCCTCCACCAGCTCCTCTGCCGGCTGGATGGTTTTCCTGGGAGGGAAAGGGTTGTGCTTGTCATCGTGCTTGTTGTTGACCCTGTGCGTATCTCCCCCAACTACGGCACGCAGCCGCTCCTTCTTCACGAAGGCCTTGTCAACCACTGAAGACATGATACTGGCCCCATCAGCTCCCGGGATTTTTCCTGTGGATTCAGGATAGGGACCATGATTGGTCCTGGGCCGGCCCCCAGCCTAGCATCCACCGCATCCACAAGGGGATGAGCAGATGAGTCAGGGTCAGAGTTGTGTGGCTTTGGATAAGACCCTTGTGGTCTCTGGTCCCTGGTTTTCTTTTCTGAAATAAGGAGGAGTAAAATCCTATGACTTGTTGTGATTTTTTTTTTAATGTAGAGAAGCTGGCCTTGTACAGCCTGTGACACTTCAGTGGGCCTCTTGATTGCGCAGTAGGGGCCCTGAGCACACCCAACTCCCTGGGGGAGTAGAATATGACTTTTTTGTGATCCTGCCAAGGCTCCACTTCCCTGACTCACACAAAGCTGATAACTGCAGAAAAGCTGAATGGATTTGCAGAAGGGGACTCCATCCTTCTGGGAACAAAGGGACCAAAACCTCACAGCTGCTCCCAAAGGAGTGACACCAGGGAGGTCAAGGAGGGGTACATTCGCAGAGTCCTGGTCAATGCTGAGGGGCTGGAAGGTGCAACAGATTTCCAGAAATAAAACTGCCTTGAAGAAATGGATTTGGGGCCAATACAGGGGACAGGATGGTGTGGAGCGAAACCTGGTGCCCACACAGAGATCCCTCTTGAGGTCACCAGCTTATATCATGTAGGGAGGGTATGATGACTGAAAACTGGGCTTGCACTAAAGAGGTGGACCGCAGGGAACATCACAGAGGATACTCATGCCCCTCAGAGAGCCTCTATGGCCCTGCCATGATCAGGAACCCCCAGGTCCCTCCCAGGAGGGGAAGCAACCCATTACACAGGGCAGGACCTATCTTGCACTGTGATGCCACGTGACAGCAACAAGCAATGGCCAGAGTGTCTGATCAGAGTCCAGGTCCTGTTCTGTTCGGCTTTCCAAAGAAGACTGAATCCCTCTGCTCTGAGAACAACTCTGAGGTTTAGAAAATCAAGGAATTCAGATTTCTTCCCAGTAGGGCAGGAGGTGCTTAATGGATTCAGTGAGGTAAATAGAGATGATGCTGTTTTTGAGCCCCAAGTCTATTGAAAGGGTTAGCGTGAGGACTGAATCAGGGGAGCTCCAGAGGCCCATCCACCTTCAGCCCCTCGGTGGACAGGTAGGGGACTGGGACTGGGGAGAGGCAAGCTAGGTGCCTAGGGCACAGGATTTTAGGAGGTCCGGCTCCAGAGGTGCAAGTTCAGAGTCAACACCCAACAGTGAGGGCTTCCTTACACTCCACACACTGGGTGCCACCCTGATGAGAGTGTGCAGAGGCTTAGAGGCAGAAGCAATGGGTGCTGATTCTGGTTCCATTACTGCACGGTCTTGACCTGTCACTTAACTTAGCTGAGTCAACGCTGGAATCCACAAATACAAGCTAAGATGGATCATGAACACACATCAATTTAGGAATTTAAGGCTCCTAAAAATAATTATTTTTCTGTTTAAAGTTAGTCGTGAGAGACTATTTTCTTGGGCTCCAAAATCACTGTGGATAGTGACTGCAGCCATGAAATTAAAAGACAGTTGCTGTTTGGAAGAAAAGGTATNAGGCAGGAAATAGAGAGTCAGAGCCAGGGCTTGAGTCCCACCTCCAGGACTTTCCTGCTATGTGACCTTGGACAAGTTGCTTAGCTTCTCTGCACCCCCATACCCTATGGAAAAGGCCCAATAAATTTCACCTGTGCCTACAGTGGTGGATGGGGAGCTGCAAGGATTTAAGAAACTGACTCATTAAGGTGCCTCCCCCAGTGTCTGGAACAGGCTTAGTGCCCAGCAAGTATCCGCTTTCATTAGTAGTGGATTTGTTCTCTAAGTTTCTTTCCGGCTCTAACTTCCACCATTTTCCCTGTAGTATGAGGTCAGTCCCCCTTGCCTCACCTATTTCACAAGATTCCTGTGAAGCTCCAATGAGAAGATGCAGACAGAAGCATCTTTTCCCTTTAAGGATCATCGCTCAACCTGTGATGGGTGTCACACTGTCCACCCAGGTCCCTGTCATGCCTTCCCTGTCTCCTGTCCAGCAGTTACACCCACTCAGCACAGTCAGTCAATACTGAGGCCCTACCATGAACCAGGCCTTGTCCAAGGTGCTGAAGCCCTCTGTGAACCTCACAGCATACCTGCCCTCAACTAGTATACACTCCAGTGAAAGGACACTGACAGTGAACAAATAGAAAGGATAAAATACTTTTAGGTTTTGAAAAGGCTATGGGGAAGATTAAGTGAAGTCACATAGGAGAGGATGACCAGGGGAGGCTGCCCTTGCTTAGACTGGGGAGGGCCATGCCCAGGAATGGCCATTTGAGTTGAGACTTGAATGATGAAAGGGAGGCAGCTGTGCTGAGAGCCAGGAAAGAGCATCACAAGCAGAAGGGAGAGCAAGAGCAAGGACCTCAGGCAGGAAGGCTGCAAGGAGGCCAGTGAGGTCTGGAGACCCATGAGGAGAGAAGAAGAGGAAGATCAGATAGGCAGCCTGGGCCAGACCATGCCAGGCTCAGAGGCCACAGCACAGATTTGAAACTTTTTCTATACGTGATGGAAATGCCAGTCGACATTTTAAGGAGTGGAGGGACATAGTCAGATTTATATTTTAGAATGACCATGCTGGCCGCCCAGTGAAGGAAGGACTGACAATCCGTGGACAAGAGGCAGAGAAACCAAGCAGAACTGCAGTAGCATCAGTCGAGAGAGCATGATATATCACCCCAGGCACATCAGTGGAGATGCTGAGAAGTGATCAGATTGTGGGTCTGTTTTGGAGATAAAGCCAATAGGATTTCCTGATGGATTAGATACAGGGTGAAAAGGATCAAGGATGATGCATAGACTTTTGGTCTAAGCAACTGAATGGTGTTGTCGTCTGGAGCCCTCCATCTGAGGTGTGTGAAGTGCAACATGCCAGTTAGACACCTAAGTGAAGATGCCAAGTAGTCAAAGGTTATACAAGCCTGAGGCTGAGCAGGATCAAGCCTAAGTTAAGGTTGTGGTCTTAGGGAGATATCGACAAATAGAAGGTATTAGAATCCAGGGGACAGGTGAGGGAGGAGTGAAAATGAGAAATACGGGAGAGGAGGAGGGAGCCACCCCACTGTCTCCCACAGGAGGTTGCATGGAAGGGCCTAGAGGGAAAGGAAGAAAGGCCGTGCCAGGGGAAGCACAGAAAGAGGTCACTCGTGCTAAATGCTGCAGAGAAGCAAGGAGGCTGGAACCAGGATCCTGATGAAGCCTTGATGAGAGCTCCTCCAGGAGGGGCGTAAATACTCTCTGGTGGAACCGAAGAGAGGATGGGAAGGGAGGAGTCAGCAATGGCCATGGCAGACAAGAGATCTACCCCATGGGAAGTTAGTTAGAGAGAATGTGTGGTCAAGGGAGTCTTTGTTTAACAGTGGGAGATATTCCAGTGGTTTCAAAGCCAAGAGGAATAACACAGAAGGCAGGGGGGAATTTGAGGGCAAAATTCTTATGAAAGTAAGAGGAGGAGTCCAGGGCCTTTGTCCAACCCAGGGGCTGGCTTTATAAATAAGGGCATAGGCAGATTCTGTATATGTGGAGATTGGTGGTTTGGTTGATCAGGGGTGGCGACAGTGACATCTACCCTGGTTACTTTGATTTCTCTGGAAATACAGCATGAGGTTGCTGATTTTGCTACCATCCTAGGTCAGCAGAAGTACACACTCAAGAATGTCCACAGCAGCTGCACACAGAGCAGCCTACAACTGGAAGCATCTAATACCAAGCAGCAGAAGAGTGGATAACAAATGGAGGGATTCCCATCTTCTGAGGATACACAGCAATGGAGAAGTAAGAACAGCATGGGTGACTTCATGGGGCCAATAAAGAGCCGGACACAAGAGTTGCCCTGAAGTTCTAGAACAGGCAAACAAAAGCAGGAGGACCTAGAGAAGTAGCTGCCTCTCAGCAGGGAGAGAGGGTCCTGAAGAGGCATGAGGAGCTTTTAAGGGCCGTGGAAATGTTCTAGGCCTTGATCTGTTCATCATCACATGGATGGATACATTTTAAAAAATTCATTGAATGTACACTACAATATATACGTACTTGAGGGCATTTAGGTTTGTCCTCAGTTAAATAATTTAGGAAAAGGGAGTGGGGAATCCTCACAATTCCCCAAGTTAAGAATTCTCAGCCTCAGTTTACAGATGAGGAAACCGAGGGTGGAGAGTGAAACTGGATCCACAGTCACCTCTGCTGCCCAAACACCTGTACTCTCTCCAGATGATTTGCTTAATGAAGATTCAACTTAAAAGTTGAATGTGTTTTATACAATTCATATATTGTATTCAATACAATTCATTATATTTATACAAATATAAAATGCATTACAGTAGAACTGCCCCCTTGGAATCCCACCTCAATCTCTCTGCATACCCCTTGGGTTCCAAGGGACAGAGTTTGAACACCATGGCCCCACACCAAGATGTCTTCTTGTAGCCCTCAGGAACCAACTGTCAGTTGGGGAGCAAGAAGAATGTTGGGGTCCCCAGTTACCCACAACTCCCCCATCCCCTCTGCTTCCAGTCTTAGCACCGTGGAGGCACTGGGTGCCCTTACTTGGGGGTGCCACGTGTACCACATATCCATCACCAACGCAGACAGCCCAGTGGCTGTAGCAACAGCGAGATATCTCAGTCAAGTCTCCAGTCTGGGGTTCGGGCTGTAAAACCAAGAAGAAGTCTGTTAGAGGTGATGGGAGAGCTGGGAACCAGGGGTGGGGCTCAGCCCAGAGGGAGCAGCTCAGCAGCCTTCATCTCACAGCTCTCCAGGACGTCCTCCCAAGCCCGCCTGGCCATTCAGGTGCCCGGCCCACTTCACATGTCTGCCAGGGATTATGGGCCTGCCCACCTGTCATTACTACTTGCAAAGTGCANCATGAATGACCCAGGATGTACAGGCAAGGCAGAGACCCAGCCTTTAAGGAGCTTATGGACTAGAAAAAGAGACGTTTAGGACTTGAGTAATAGGGGGTCAAGTAATCAGCAGCAGTAGGTACACAGACTCAAGGAGTTCACTGTGTCCCAGGCAAATACTAATGAAAGGAGAACTATACAGAGAAACAAGCTTGCAAATATATACATAGATATATATACCCAGCAGCAAACTTATCTACAGAGAAACCTGGACTCATCTCACCTCCCCTTTCTTTCTCAAGTTCATGTCCAACTAAAAAGGCTGACCCTGAAAGCTGTCCTTGAATTCACTGCCTCCTCATCTCCCGTCCTCTGACTTGGTCCAGGGCAACCCCGTCCCTGTATCTGTGACTCCCACTGACCCCTGAAACCCCACCCCCACCCCACTTCCTGTCTCCATCTGGAGAACATATAGATGGACTGTTCACTGCATCCCTACGTCATCCCAGATGTCTAAGACCAGGGCCGGGGTACTGGCAACAGCAGACAGCGAAAAGGTGGACCATCAGCTGTGTCTACTTGGAGAGGAAATGGGGCAGGAACCAGGCACGGAGTAGCTCAGAGCGAGGCTTGATGCTGCCTTTCTTGAGAAATATGGCACCTCTTCCCAGAATTGGTTGGTTTTCAGTAATGGCAGGAATCTGGCTTGTTCCTCTCCAGCTGCACACTAGGAAAGCAGCCTGCCCTGCGCGCCCCCCACTGAAACTTCTCTCATTCAGAAACACTGGCTGCTTGGGAGAGAGTGTTTCAGGAACAGAACGTGAAATGCAAGTGCATTCTCTGTAGCAGGACCGATGCCTTGGGTGATGGAGCAGGCAGAGGAGGTGGGATGCACTCATCTCCCTTGTCCCAGGGTTGCCCCCTCCACTGCCACACTAGCTTCCTCTCCATGGACCCCAGAATACACACCACTCCTCCCCATGGCAGTCCCTACCCCTCACTGCGCTGTGTGTGGACAGGAAGCCCACTCTGCCCAAAGACCTCGCGGTTCCAACAGGAAAAGGGAGTTTTAAACAACCAATATATTTTCCTATGAAAGCCTTCTCCAGGCAGGCTGTGGGAAAAGCAAGACCCGGCCTTTACAGGAAGGGAGTTGCCCTCTCATTTAGAGTCAGTGGTGGGGAGTTTCAGGGGACTTACCGATGCCATCGCCAGCCAGAGCAGTACTGAGATCTTGCAGCTCTCATACCAGCTTTTTTTTTTCCATTTATTTTTACTAGTGGGAGGCTAATTACAATATTGTAGTGGTTTTCACACCAGCTTTTATTGCAAAGCTGAGTTTCGCTTTTGCTTTTCTTCTCTTCTTAAAAACTACAAAGCTGTAAAGTTTTTTTTTTCTTTTTTTTTTTCAATGTAGACTATGATTTGCTTTAAGTGGAAAGGTCAATGATTACCTACCTCAAAACAAAATTGCTGGGATTTTAAAGCCCCGTGGAAGTAGAGTAGGAGGCCGGTGATATCATCTGGCCTTGTTTGAGAAACCCAAGGTCTCTTCCAACAAAATCCTGGATGACTGTTCCTACTCCAGGAAGAGGGGCATTTAGAGGCTCAGAGGTGCCAACCCCCTAGAACACCTTCTAGGCCATTGTAACGATTCTAGGAAATACTGGGTCAGAAGCCATGGGGCGGGTCAGTTGGGGTATTGCACTCCACAGGGCAAGCCTTCAGGATGTGGGTGCCTCGTGGCATGTGGGACGTAGGACCTTGATGCCCCTGTTGGATGCGTTTGGCTGCAAGAAGCAGAACTTAACTAAAACAGGTTTTGACAGCTTGGACAGTCACTGACTCTGTAACAGGAAGCCAGAGGCCGGTGACTCAGATCCATTTCAGTAGCTCATCGAGGCCACTAAGGACCTAGGCTTTTCCATCATGCTGGTGCTGTGCCCCCAGTGACACCCTGCCTGGTCACCGTGGCCGCAGCAGCCTCAAGGGGCACATTTTCTCCTGGCGATGTCCAAGTGCCATAAAGGAAGGTGTTTCTCATCACTTGTCTTTTTTTTTCTCCTCCAGGGAATACAGTCTTTCCTATAACCCCCTGGCTGGCCTGCTTTCCCTCTTCACTGGCCAGAACTGTCACGCTTCCCCTTCCAAATCAATCGTGGGCAAAGAGAAAGGGGCCTCCACAGCAGCTTCAGACCACACACGGTGCGTCGACTGGAGCCGGAGGGTCGCCTGCTGCCTGATGAACAGCAGGATTGTGAGCCTGGGAGAAGGTGAGTGACCGTGGTGTGTGCGTGCATCACGGGGAGAGATGGCTCCTGACTATACAATCGACATATGGGATGCACTCACCTGCTTCTCATCTGGGTGAAAAACAACTTATTTCAAGGCTACAAACAGACAGGAACCAGTTCTCCAACAATCAGACAGCATCTGGCAGGAAAATCAGGGGTGATAGACTCACTGGGGATGGGAGGAGGATGCAGAGCAGGCTTGTGGATATGTAGAGAGCCTCCGAGTTACTGAAACTCAGTCAATTCCTGGAAAAGGTATCCTATTTCTCAGGAAGTATGGGCCTGTGTGGCTTTGTGTGGCTCTGCACCTGTACCCTGCCCCATTTCCTTTCCAAGTAGAGACACAGCTGACTGCCTTTCCACCATCTGCTGTTGTCAGCATCCCAGCCGTGGTCTTAGACAATTGGGGACATTTGGGGATGGAGTGAATAGTCTCCACATGCTCTCTGCATGTAGACTATCTCTGGCCCTGCCCTGGCAGATGGGGCACTTGGCCTGAGAGAGCAGAGGAGCTGGGCTGGAGTCCTGGCCCCACGGAGCCCCAGCCCTCCTCCTTACACAGTGCCTTTCTCCCGTTCCAAGCCAGGCCCCTGACTGGTGCTGGAGCCACAGGGAAGGAGGGCCAAGCACACAGGATCCTCCCTGGACGGAGCTCCACGCCCAGAGCGGGTGAAGGCAGGCATAGGGAATCCCAGCCAGACACGACCGTGGGGAAGAGGGGGAGGTCCCGGGGGCCTGGTGACCCAGAGGGGATCAGCTCACCAGGCTGGGGCCTGCAGGCCAGCTTCTCAGAGGAGATGGGGGAGAAGAGGAAGGGGGTGTGGGGAGGGGTTGGGATCAGAGAGAGCCAGATGTGCAGAGGAGCAGAGGCAAGGCTGAGCAACCGGTCAGGGCAAGGGCACGTCGTCCGGTCAGCCTGGGAAGGGGGAGGCAGGAAGGCGGAGGAGGGGTGAGGAGGGTGGGTCAGCAAGGGCCTGTGAGCTGCCGAAACCGTGTGCCCTGTGCTCTAAGGCGAAAGGAAGGTCACGGGCAATACGCCCTCAGGAGGCCACAGGGAGTCTTGGGGAGACTGAATGTGGAGTGATAGAGATAGGAGACGGGGGGCGCGGGCAGAGGGTGGAGGGGTCACAGTAGCAGGGATGGGGCTGGCCGGGACCAGGTCAGTCGGTGGGAGCTGGACAAGGCAGTGAACTCAAGACAAACTGACCAGACTTTGTGGTTGGATGCAGGTGGCAGGGGTGGGGGTGAGGGTGGGCAGCAGGAAAGGATGTGTTCGGGAGATGGAGGACTTAAGATGGCCCTCTCTGGGGACTAGGAAAGCTGGAAGAGGGGTTGGANGCAGGTGGCAGGGGTGAGGGTGAGGGTGGGCAGCAGGAAAGGATGTGTTCGGGAGATGGAGGACTTAAGATGGCCCTCTCTGGGGACTAGGAAAGCTGGAAGAGGGGTTGGAAGAGGGGATGTCATTCCCCAGATCAGGAATGTAGAGGGAACAGGAAAATGATTCATTTTTGCAGCTGGGGTGGCCGGGGGTGGAACACAGGCCATGAGGAATGGGGTGAGGAAAGCGAGTCAGGCAGGACTGTGGGGTGCCTAGTGAGAGCTGTGGGCAAAGGCCCGGCTTGGCCTCTTGGCACAAGTGACCTTGAGCAGGTCATCACCCTCTGGGAACCCTGGTTCCTGCACCCCTACAACGGGATGAGGCTCCCTTGCCAGGGTGTTGTGTGGGTGGAGGGCCACAGGGCAGGGGTCCACCCCATTGCTGACAGCTGTGTGATCCCACAAGGTTCTGGCCCCTGGCCGAGCTGCCTGTTGGGTCACATTAAGATCCCTCCAACTTGCATCTCTCAAGACATCAGCTATTAGAGGAGGAAATCCTGAGGGCAGGAGGGGACCCAAAGTTGGGGCCTAATGAGGCCATGGACTCCACGAGCACAAGATGGTGGGCTTGAGGGTCTGTCCGCAAGACTGACTGCCCAGCATCGCCCTGGGTGGGCCTGGTGCTGGGACATGTTGGGAAGATGCTGTGCATGTTCTGTCATGAGTACACATGTGCAGAAACACATCCACACAGCCCTGGGTGTACGAAGGTACACCTGAGTGAACACGGACTCAGCCAACACAGTCCCAGGACCCTCCTTCCTTTCCCATGCCTCAGCAGGGGTGGAGACTGGTGCCCAAGACAAGTGCTTGCACCGTCCTGGTTGCTCATCACATGATGAAGATTAAGCATCACCCCTTCTCCCCAAAGAAGCCACTCTCTGCAAGACAGATGGTTTAGATTCATGTACATCTTGTTTTTCTAGGGCAGGCAGGCCAAACACTATACCTGGAGATCTGGCTGAGATTTTTTCAAGGTGGCTATTAGATAAGAATTCGGTCCATCTGGTCCCTGCAAGCAATGAAGGATTTCCTGTCTAAATGTCAGTTCTGTCCGACTCTCAGTCATGTCCGACTCTTTACGATCCTGTGGCCTATAGCCTGCCAGGCTCCTCTGTCTATAGGGATTCTCCAGGCAAAAATACAGGAGTGGGTTTGCCATGCCCTCCTTCAGGGGATCTTCCCAACCCATGGATCGAACTCAGGTTTCCCACATTGCAAACCGATTCTTTACCGTCTGAGCCACCAGGCAAGACCAAGAATACTGGAGGGAGTTGCCTATCCCTTCTCCAGGAGATCTTCCCAACCCAGGCATCAACCCGGGTTCTCCTACTCTGCAGACAGATTCTTTACCAGCTGAGCTACCTGGGAAGCCCTATTTTCCATTACGTAGTCTTTTTAATTTTTAAGTTGGGTTGGTTGTTTTTCAGTTGCTAAATTGTATCTGACTCTTTGTGACCCCATGGACTGCAGCACGCCAGGCTTCCCTGTCCTTCACTATACCCCGGAGTTTGCCCAAACTCAGTTCATTGAGTCAGTGATGCCGTCCAACCATCTCACCCTCTGTTGGTTTATTGAGTTATCATTTACATATGGTAAAATTTGTCATTTTTAAGTTCAGATCTGTGAGCTTTGGCAATTATTATGTAACTACTGCCACAATCAGGATAGAGAATATTTCATCACCCCTCAAATGTCACTTGTAGTCATCTCCTCCCCCCACCTAGTTTCGAGAAGCCACTACTCTGATTTTTGTCTTTTGCAGTTTGCCTTTTCCAGAATATCATGTGAATGGAATTGACCATATGGAGCTTTCTGGGTCCAGATTCTTTCATTTAACATAATGTTTTTAAAAATTATTATTACTCATCAATGTTGTTTCATGAAACAATTTGTTATTTATTTTCACTGGGTAGTGTTCCATTATGTGGCTGTACAATAACTGTTTAATTTTATTTTTAGCTTTTATTTTAAAATTAATTTTTATTGGAGTATAGTTGATTTACAATGCTGTGTCAGTTTCTGCTGTATAGCGAAGTGAATCAGTCATACACATGCATACAGATACACCTACTCTTTGGCTGGTTCTGTTGCCATATAACTCATTACAGAGTATTGAATAGTGCTCCTTGTGATGTTCAATAGGGCTTTCTAGGTGGCTCAGTGCTAAAGAATCTGCCTGGCAACGCAGGAGACGTGGGTTTGATCTCTGGGTTGGGAAGATCCCCTGCAGAAGGAAATGGCAGCCCACTCTAGTATTTCTTGCCTGGGAAATCCTGTGGACTTAGAAGCCTGGTAGGCTACAGTCCATGGGTTGCAAGAGAGTTGGAGATGACTTAGCGACTGAACAGCTGCTATGCAGATGATTCTTAATAGTTATCTAGTCTATCTCAATTTCCCAAATTATGCCTTCTTCCTCTTCTCTTCTGGTAACCACAGGTTTGTTTCCTATATCTATGACTCTTTTTCTGTTTTATAAATGAATTGATTTGTAGCTCAGTTGGGAAAGAATCTGCCTGCAATGCAGGAGAGACTGGTTTGACCCCTGGGTCGGGAAGATCCTCTGGAGAAGGCATAGGCTACCCACTACAGTATTCTTGGACTTTCCTTGTGGCTCAGCTGGTAAAGAATCCACCTGCAATGCAGGAGACCTGGGTTCGATCCCTGAGTTGGGAAGATCCTCTGGATAAGGGAAAGGCTACTCATGCCAATATTCTGGCCTGGAGAATTCCATGGACTGTGTAGTTCATGGAGTCACAAAGAGTTGGACATGGCTGAGTGACTTTCACTTTCTTTCTTTTTTTTTTAGGAAGGACAGTCTCAGGAATTTTTTAATCCTTTAAGACAGAATAATTCAGCTTTTTAAATAACTCAATACATTATCTTGGTTTTTTTCAAACTTCACTGGAAAAGGAAAAATATTGCCAAGCAGTTCTAGTGCATAGTCTTTTTTTTTCATTTATTTTTATTAGGTGGAGGCTAATTACTTTACAATATTGTAGTGGTTTTTGTCATACACTGACATGAATCAGCCATGGATTTACATGTATTCCCCATCCCGATCCCCCCTCCCACCTCCCTCTCCACCCTATCTCTCTGGGTCTTCCCAGTGCACCAGGCCTGAGCACTTGTCTCATGCATCCAACCTGGGCTGGTGATCTGTTTCACCCTTGATAATATACATGTTTCGATGCTGTTCTCTTGAAACATCTCACCCTCACCTTCTCCCACAGAGTCCAAAATTCTGTTCTGTACATCTGAGTCTCTTTT